TTAAAAGCGAAGGAAAGTGAGGAAAAGAGGGAAAATTCAAACGAACTAAAAACAAACAATTGCTTTACGCCGAATTACTGCTATTTGAAAGTGAAAGTAAAATGCACGCGCCACATTTACAAGCTATTTAAAAGCAAAGGAAAGTGAGGAAAAGAGGGAACGTCCCGTCCCCACGGTGATACCGGTATCATCGGTGTTGTCACACGTCGATTAACCGGTGGGAAAATTTCCTTACCGTCTCAACCTTACTTTTCATAAAAAGTAAGTAACGCAATTAGTTACTTTTTTTATGGAATAATGCAATATTGTAATGCATTACTTTTAAAAGTAACTTTCCACGACACTAAAAACAAACAATTGCTTTACGCCGAATTACTGCTATTTGAAAGTGAAAGTAAAATGCACGCGCCACATTTACAAGCTATTTAAAAGCAAAGGAAAGTGAGGAAAAGAGGGAACGCCCCGCCCCCACGGTGATACCGGTATCATCGGTGTTGTCACACGTCGATTAACCGGTGGGAAAATTTCCTTACCGTCTCAACCTTACTTTTCATAAAAAGTAAGTAACGCAATTAGTTACTTTTTTTATGGAATAATGCAATATTGTAATGCATTACTTTTAAAAGTAACTTTCCCCGACACTGACTACAAGTTTCAAGAACTACAGTGATTCAAGTGACAAAGTGTGTTTAAATTAGCAGTGAACTTGGTGAGACTTTGTCTCTTTCTGTCTTCTCACACAATCAGAGCTGTGGCTGGTGTCAGTATTGCAGAAAGCAGCGTGAACCAGCTGTCAACACCTGATCTAATATCTTTCTGACTGCTGTCTGCAGAGGAATAGTGAATAGTCTTCATTTACTCACTCTCAGGTCGTAGGCAGAACGTGCAAGCTGCTCTTTTCCACACAGTGACAGTGAATGGGACGAAAAAGTCTTCTGAAGCCATATGATGCACTACAGAATATGATACATGTCAGTGAGGCAGTAATGTGTGTGTTCTTGTGTTTCTAGATCCCTGTGTCAGCGAACCTCTTAGACATGTATAGTAAACCGGGCATGCCGCCTCCAGGAATCTCTATTAGTAACTCGTGCCCTGCTAACCTGCCCAACATTAAAAGGGAATTCTCCGGTAAGAGTCATATGAATTAGTTAATGTCGTTCTGTAGCGTCTAAGACCCTCCAGACCTTTTGACGATGTACTTAATTGTGATTTACCTTTTTAAAGTCTGTAGAAATGTCATGTGAATGATGATATGAGTGAGAGATTGAAAACATATGCTCATATGCTACATAGTTACTCAATCTCCAGCCATGATGCACATGATGGACAAGCACAGCCCCTGTAGCAAGTTTGAGAGCTATCAAAGGCCTGAAGGGTTTCCTGTGGGTACGTTCAAAGATTTCTCTCCATGTCTGCATGTCTGTTAACAAAACATAAAGATAGTAATAATTTTATGGATTACAATTGTTTTATGGATTAGATTTACCCATACTGGCACATTGGGTGGTCTCAGGGAACCATGGTTACAGCATAACCTTGAGACACTTTGTGTCACGCAATTCTGACTTTATAACTCACAATTGCGAGTTATAAAGTCAGTACTATGTTTATATACTGTAACATTGTATGTATAATAGTTATATAAACGTTCAAGTTCAGTCATGTTCGGAATTAAATACTGTGTAGTATACACTACATGCTGGCTACTATTTTTATTTTATTTTATTTTTATAAAGTAGTATGTGAAACCGTAGGTATTATTCCATGATAAACATTTCATTTTTACATTGTCATGTGACCTTGTAAAGTTGTAAGTGTCAAACATCATCTTGGAAATAATACTGTTATTTTGAATTTTTAGTTTGATTTTATAAAAAAAAAATGGGCTAAAATGGGGCAAGTCTAGCACATTGCATTGTGGGATACAGTTTTAATATATAGTGTGCTGTATTGTATACAGCACATTCTGGCAAATGTCTGAGTATTTTATGCATACAGAAAATGTGCAGACTGTACAGTGAGTACTGCATACTATAGTAAAAAGGCATTTTGGTGAGAGAAAATATACTATAAATGACATCTGCAGTGACATTTCAAGGGTGCCAAAACATCTGGCAGATAAACATCCTGCTTTCAGTTTCTCTTCTCACCCTGCTTTATCTTTTTTAGAGGCAGAAGTTCGCGCTTTCGCAAAGGAAAGGCAAAAAAAGGACAACCATAACTTAAGTGAGTTTGCTTTTTATGTTGGGCAGCATCGTTCAAGTTTTACAACACAAAACCATTTTCATTCTTCCCTCAGTTTGTAACAATGAAATATTTAAGTTATTATCTTTGTCCCATAGACTTTGCTTGTTAGTGGATTACTGTAAATGTGATTTGGTTTGAGTTTATAAATTCGACTGTGTGTAATATAACAAGCATTTTCCATCTGTTTCAGTTGAGAGGCGACGAAGATTCAACATTAACGATCGAATCAAAGAACTGGGGACTCTGATTCCTAAATCAAATGACCCGTAAGCAGTGTTCAGTAGAAACACACTTACACATGAAGCAGATGAATACATGCTATTATCACAGCAGAGGTTAGTGCTGTTGATAGAGGGTCTATCAGATGTGCTGGTGTCAGCTGCTTGTGTGTGTTGCTCAGGGACATGCGCTGGAACAAGGGCACTATTCTGAAGGCCTCTGTGGATTACATCAGGAGACTTCAGAGAGAGCAGCAGCGTGCCAAAGAGCTGGAGAACCGTCAGAAGAAGCTGGAACACGCCAACCGCCACCTGATGCTCAGGATACAGGTCAGTTCAGACAGAGCCCAGATCCCTGGACAACAGCACTGTCAATACGTAACTATAAAATACAACTATAACATGCAGTGGAGTGGCATACAGGACTAGTACACTGAGCAGAATGACCCTTGGTCAGTGAACTTTAGCAGACATATTATGGAAAATAATACACTTCAACTCTCTGGGCCTCTTCATTTTTGGGTCACACTTCAAAAGTGACCGAAGCCTTGAAATGTAACCTAATATATATTTTTTCAATAATATTTTTTTTGATTTTCTGATACTATGAAAGATTTATACAATTTGTATTAGCTATTTTTTCCGCCGTCATTTGTGACCGCAAAGGTACCAAGTAGGGGTTTGAACGACTTCAGATTTTTTAAAGTCGACATTTAAGTGATGAAAATCAAGTCGACGTTGACTAGTCGCTTATGACGTCATTAATGAACAAATAAGCCTGAGCCTTGAGCTGAGACTCGAACACTTTGTGCACAGCTAGGCATATGACACAGCGCTGCGCACATGGCTATTGCTCCTATAACATGCTATATACATGCAGTATATACAATATACTGCTCATTTTTATCAGTTCTTTTGTCTTTGGGTCGTTATATTTCTCACAGGTTTCTGCTCGGTCTAAATCAGAGAAATCATAGAACAGTGTTGACAGTACATTTCCGCGCTACTGAATGATTCTGTGTGCGCGCGATGTGTGCGTGATGTACGAGTCTGTAGCCAGTGTGTGTGCGTTTCAGTTCAGCAGCGCATTAGATTAGAACAGCGATACTTGTACAATAAGCTGTTTAAAACGTGCATTCTCCCTTTCAATTTCGAGCATCCAGGTGGTATAATCAAACATGTCTTGTGGAGCGCTATCGGAGTATGCATTTGTTTGTCCTCTTAACTGTTTGGAAACGGAGCGTAATGAGGACTTCAAAGATTTCTTATCCTGTTGCACCCTCTATAGGACCAGCGACTAGTCGACGTCAAGCTTAAAGCGTCATGGCAGAGCATTGAATTCATTTTTGGGTGAACTATCCCTTTAAGTGGCCTTTTATTTCATTAATATTAAATTATCTACAATAATTTTTTTAAATGATACTTTTAAGATTTGAAATACACATAAGTGCACATTCAGTTCTTTTTTCACTAGGGTAAATTTCGATGACTAGAACTAAATGTTATAGTAAAGAAATGTTCAAACAAGCACTTTTTTCTAAGAATTATGTAAAAAATGATGTTAAAAACATTTAAAGTCACCTTTAATTAAAATTCTTATTATATTATGGAATGTCGCATTGTTTATTATAAATGATTTATCCTTTCACTTCATTATTGAAAAGGGCACAAGGGTTATAATCCGCTATTTTTAATAGCCATCAATATTAGACATTTTTTGTCATGACCTTCAACCTAAAACATATTCTTTCAATTATGTGTGACACCAAAGCTTAGTAAAACTGCATGAATTTACTACAGATATTGTTATCTGTACAGGTACAGTTATTGTTTAAATAAGTATATGAATTCCAAACTCATTGTGATGAGGTTGAAATAATGTAGTGCTTTAAGTAACACTAAATAACTTGTTGTCTAACCACATATTTAGGATTGGGAGTCACTGGTTAAGATTCAGCCACTGAAAATCTCATATTTGTTTGTAATAGAAATACCCAGCATCCGTTTGTTTTATATTTTAATGTTTATATTATTAATATACAGATTAAATGTTACATTTTAAATATTGAATCATTTTATTAATTTATATTTTTAAATATTTTCTAGATTTTAATTCTATATTTTAATTTAGATACATCCAGAGAAGGTTCATTAAGTTAGTTACAGTTTATGTTTCAGTTAATGCTTTGTCTATCCGTTGCTCAATGCTAATCCAGGAGCTGGAAATCCATGCTCGTGCTCACGGACTGGCCGTCGTCTCGTCTACACTCTGTTCATCAGAGCTAGCAGCCCGGCCCATCAAACAGGAGCAGGCCCTGGGCGACTGCTCCCGGGATATGTACCCTCACATGCACCCGTCCTGCCCCGACATGGGCCGCTCCAGCACCCTAGACCTTAACGACGGCACAATCACCTTTAACGACTCTAGCACTTCCACTGATGCGGGGGCTTATGGTCTTGTCCCAAAGGCACATGGCACTAAACTCGACGACATCATGATGGACGACACATTGTCATCTGTAGCAACGAGCGACCCACTCCTCACCTCTGGAGCCTCGAACGAAAGCAGCTGTAAGGACAGCGTGAACATGGAGGAGAACGAGCATGTTTGTTAGTGCAGCGGAACCGCTAGTCATTGTTGCGTTTTTCCGGTAACACAATTGACTGCTAAGGAGGAAGCACGGCCTGTTTTGTCAAGTGCAAAATAATATTATTTTTATGTTTACACTCCTTTTATTTTATTGTGTTTTAACCTTATTCCAGTTTGGTCTAGCAAAATTTCATTGTGTTATAATAATATCAAAATAATCAAGGTCAGTATCATAAAACGACTGATTTGTGTAACTTCACATAGGTGTATTAGAATATAATCAACTTTGGGATAATATAAAAGTGCACTTGAAAGGTGATTTCTTTGGATGTACAGTAGTGTGTTTGCGCGCAGTTTAGAAGAATATTTCTCTTTTTTTATATATCCTTGTAAAGGAATGATTTAAGCAAAATGCTTCCCATTTAATGTGTAGATATTAAGCGACAGACAGTTGATATTTCAAGGGATAGTTCACCCAAAAATGAAAATCTGTTAATTTACTCATCCTCAGGACATCGAAGATGTAGGTGACTTTTTTTCTCAGTAAAACAGTAAAGAAGTTTTTAGCTGAAACTGTGGTCCTTGGAGATTCATAAAATGCAAGTCAGATGCGAGAGCAACAGTGATAGACGTCCCTCTAGAAAATGCGCGTGTTATATGTGTTCTGTGTGAACGGCTTGGTTTCAGTTTTGATGTAAACAACATCATCTCTGCATTGATGTTCTCTTTTTCCGCAATATTTTGAATGAACAACGCAGCAGCGCCGCATCTAGTGGCTTCAACTGGACAGGCTAACAAAAACATTATATTGCAACGACACTTACATCGTCATCGCATCTCGTGTGCCACTGATAAGGCTGCCTCCTTAACGCACACCTAAAATTCGAATGTGGATTTTTATTTTCAATTCGACGAATATTCGAAATTCGCATTTTTTTTTTTGACAGCCCTAATACCCATAGCTCCTGACGATATATTGAGGTCTTATGAAGCAAAATGATCGGTCTGTGCAAGAAACATTATAATGTTGTAAACATTATTTACAACATTTAATTTATAGCCTCAGGCAAATGGTTCAGAGGGATGTCCAGTTCGCAAACGAATCATTCTTTTGAACTGTTTCTCTTTAATTGGACTGAACCGTCTGAAACCGTTTGTGGCACCACAGATCTACAAGTTTCTGAATCAGAACTCACTTTCAGATGTCTGACAGTCACTCCGAATTGAAATGAGCCAAAATACCAGTGAATATGATCCTATAATGAATGAACTCATTGAGTTCCTCCAACAGTCACTGAACTAAGGAAACATTTAGACTCGGACTGATGACTGATGAGCCGCTGATATGCGCATGCATGAACCGAATGCTTGAATGAAGGGGCGAAATGAAAGTTGTTAAGGTTTCTCATGGTTTATGTAAAAAGGTGAGGGAAGTAAATGAAAATTTCATTTTTTTGTGTGAAATAGTCCTTTAGCATAGCTACATTAATCGTAACTAATTCATAAATGTTGTGAAAATTTCTGTTGAATGTCGTTCTAATATCACTGAATGTTTAAGGAAACTTTTGAGCATAAAGCGTCACGGCAGAGCGTTAAAGTCGACTAGTCTGTGTAACCCCTAGTGCCAAGTGTTACTTCTTATTTTTTTTAATATATTCAAATCATGTCCATGATGATTTTTTGTGTGTGTTCACATAGCTAATGTGACAAAAGTCATCTCATTCCAATGAAGCTACAATTTTCTAAATTTCAAAATGTAAATTTTTTTTGGTCAAAAGTGACCGAAGAGGCCCAGGTTAAAAGAATAGACTTAAAGGGACAGTTCACACACAAAAAAACAAAATTCTGTCATCATTTACTCAACCTCAAGTTGTTCCAAACTTGTATGAGTTTCTTTCATCTGTTGAACACAAAAAAAAAGATATTTTGAAGAATGTGGGTAACCAAACAGTTGCTGGTCCCCACTGACTTCCAACATTATTCAGAATAACTTATTTTATGTTCCATAGAAAAAAGAAACTCTTACAAGTTTGGAACAACTTGAGGGTGAGTAAATGATGACAGCATTTTCATTTTTGGGTGAACTAACCATTTGCATTGATGTTCTCTTTTTCCGCAATATTTTGAATGAACAACGCAGCAGCGCCGCATCTAGTGGCTTCAACTGGACAGGCTAACAAAAACATTATATTGCAACGACACTTACATCGTCATCGCATCTCGTGTGCCACTGATAAGGCTGCCTCCTTAACGCACACCTAAAATTCGAATGTGGATTTTTATTTTCAATTCGACGAATATTCGAAATTCGCATTTTTTTTTTTGACAGCCCTAATACCCATAGCTCCTGACGATATATTGAGGTCTTATGAAGCAAAATGATCGGTCTGTGCAAGAAACATTATAATGTTGTAAACATTATTTACAACATTTAATTTATAGCCTCAGGCAAATGGTTCAGAGGGATGTCCAGTTCGCAAACGAATCATTCTTTTGAACTGTTTCTCTTTAATTGGACTGAACCGTCTGAAACCGTTTGTGGCACCACAGATCTACAAGTTTCTGAATCAGAACTCACTTTCAGATGTCTGACAGTCACTCCGAATTGAAATGAGCCAAAATACCAGTGAATATGATCCTATAATGAATGAACTCATTGAGTTCCTCCAACAGTCACTGAACTAAGGAAACATTTAGACTCGGACTGATGACTGATGAGCCGCTGATATGCGCATGCATGAACCGAATGCTTGAATGAAGGGGCGAAATGAAAGTTGTTAAGGTTTCTCATGGTTTATGTAAAAAGGTGAGGGAAGTAAATGAAAATTTCATTTTTTTGTGTGAAATAGTCCTTTAGCATAGCTACATTAATCGTAACTAATTCATAAATGTTGTGAAAATTTCTGTTGAATGTCGTTCTAATATCACTGAATGTTTAAGGAAACTTTTGAGCAAATGCTCTAAAAATCGCATCTTCCAGATGAAAACGCACACAACCAATAGATGGACAAAGTATGTTTGCTATGAGGCTGATCTGAAGCAGCTGTCCCTAAATTATTTCATTCAGTTATTAATCAATGGCAGTAGTTGCTCAGTATTAATGTTTCTGGTCCAGGAGAATTTCACGTAGCTCAGTGGATTTGTGGAATAATCTTTAGACACAGAGGCTGAAGAAATGCACGTGTGGAAGGAAAGTTTGCATGCAGCATTTGAAATATCCAACTGATTTTCAGATGTCCTGTGGAATGTGCCAAGCAATAAGCAATATTCAGCTTTAACTCTGCAGAAAACCTTCAAATACAGTTCTAGTGGTTTTATGCAGTGCCTTTATAATTATGCTAATGTATTTCACTTCGTGCATTTCTTAAGATTCCCTGAGGATGCATTTTAAAAACAGTGCATCTCACAGTGCATAGCTTGAAATAATCCATAAGAATGTGAAATCATTTTTTATCACGTGTGACGACTAAATGAATAGTCATGATAATTCAAACTTCAAATTCCAATTTATTGCCCTTAAAACATTTTTTTTAAATCTGACATTTTAATAAATTTCTGTTTTACGTTTCTGCCATACGTTTTAATTACACTGTCCCAGGTTTTCTTTTTTTTATGTTTTATATTGGTGGCAAAAACACTGGAAGGATGATCGTATGTTGAAGATCAAAAAAAAAAAAAAAAAAAA